CTACAATAACACTGAATAAAAATGGAACGATAGATGTCCTCGGTTTTTTACCGGCTTTTACTAGAAAAATATTAACGTTTTCTGCAAGTATGTGCTTTGCCGTACAGTTTTTGTACGTGCCCAGTTTCATCATTTCTTATCTCATTATGGCCAAAACTCTCTAACATGGCTCGCAGCTTTTACATTTGCCCCACACACACAGATTCTTTAAGAGCTGTCATATCATTTTTTATCTCTGATCAAAGGCGTAAAATTGCTCTGCATTTCACTCAGATGAGAAGCCAGAGTCTTTTTAGAAGCCAGCACTTTCCCAGAACATGATATGCCCACTGTCTCCAGTCACCTCTCCAAATTCCTCTACTGTTTTCTCTCCAGCATCTCAGCCTGCTCTGGTCACGGTGGGGTTTGGGTCTCCCTAAAACGTACCAGGCACACTCTCGCCTGCTAACCCGTGCTCTGGTGTTTCCTCCTCCTGGAACAGTCTATTCTCAACTGTCCCTTTGGGAATTCCTTTGCATCTTTCAAGTCTTAGTCTGATCATTTTTTTCAATGAATTCAATTAATTAGGCTAATGCAGTCTCAGGGCAAATGACTGCCCCCCAAACTGGAGGGACACATAGGCACTCTGTTCCTAGACTTCTGCTCTGGAAAGATTTTCTGTATCTGCCCATGTGTCCCTACAGTTTTGGCGGCACTCCTTTTCCTATGACCACAAACTCTTGGTTCAGTATGTTCAGCTTTTTCTTGAGGATCGGTGTGATGGCTTCCAAGCTCTTAATTCAGACCAAAACCTGAAAGTCTTCATTTGTGTTTGGTATCATTACTATTGTGTGTTTTCTTTACTTTCATGATAGTATTTGTTCATGCTGCATTTATTCTTCCAGTGTCCAAGTTTACATGTTTACCCTTTGCTAATGACCATTTCATTTGTGAATAATTATTATATCTTTCCTTTCCAACCCATGAAGGTCAGTGGCACTTTTTCACTGCTGTACTCCTACACTGGAAGTTCTTAAGGTCTGAGCATCTGAGATAGATATGAGTGTTTGCAGAATCATCATAGAGCACTTCTAAGTTTTTAGAGTTAAAAATGTATCTGTTTTTCCTTACCAAGCCAGGTCTCACTAGGTTGTGTTTCCTAATAACTATTTTACTTTTCCCCGCACTAACTCACTAAAAATAAATATGCTTCTATTACTTCTTATCCCCTGACCATACTGCATTTTTCATAGACCTTACCACCACGTGACATTGTATGTTTTTGTTAGTTGCTCTCTTAGTTATCTAGTGCTTCTATAAAAGAAATACCACAGGTGGGTGGCTTTAACAAACAGAAATTTATTCTTTCACAGTTTAGGAGGATAGAAATCTGAATTCAGGGCATCAGCTCCAGGGGAAGACTTTCTGTCTCTGTAGACTCTGGGGGAAGGTCCTTGTCATCAATCTTCTCCTAGTCTAGAAACTTCTTAGTGCAGGGACCCTTGGTCCAAAGGATGTGCTCCGCTCCTGGCTCTTGCTTTGTGGCAGAAGATCCCCCACACCCACGCTCGCTTCTCTCTTTTATATCTCAAAAGAGATTGACTCAAGATACAACCTAATCCTGTAGATTTCATCCTGCTTCATTAAGATAACTGCCTCTAATCCTGTCATTAACATCTTAGAGGTTAGGATTTACAACACATAGGTAATTACATCAGATTACAAAATGGAGGACAATCACACAATACTAGGAATTATGGCTTAGCCAAATTGGCATACATCTTTTGGAGACATATTTCCATCCATAACAGTTGCTGTGGAGTCAAGTTTGTCTCATAACGACCCCATATGTGCAGAGTTCCATAGGGTTTTCAAGGCTCTGATCTATCAGAACAAATTGCCAGAACTGTTTTCCAAGGAACCTCTGGGTAGCTTTGAACCACCATCCTTTTGATCAGCAGTCAAGCGCTTACTACTTGTGCCACCCAGGGAACTTTGACATTATATTTAGTTTATTTACTCCCCACACCCAAAGAAGTTATGATCCATGTGTATCTGCATATTTCTGGTTTGTACAGTGCTGTGTCTGTTTTGCCTCTGTGAAGTCAGCTCTGTGTCAATATTACCTGAATAGTTTTAATAAATGACAGCACCAGATGTAAGGGTGCAGTGCAGTGAATTACTTAATATGGCATGTCTAGCCATAGTCTTTGTAACTCCAACCAAAGGATTGGGTGTGACCATGCTAGTAAGGTATATGGAAGCATAAATGAGGGGATTGGTCAGCTTTGCCACCCTTCTGGGCTTAAAATGAGCAGTACCAGAGGCGCAAAGAAAGGATCTCACCAGCACCAAAGAAGTAGAAGCAGGAGTGGAGCCTGTCCTTTGGACCTGGGATCCCTGTGCTGAGACCAAGACTCAGGAGACAGAGTATTAGCACAGAAGATAGCAAGATGTCCAGAATCAGCAGCAGAGGAGTATCAACCGCAGAGGCAGCAGAACCAGTAGACTGGCAGTTGACCAGCAAGAGATGGCGTGGTGGTCTTCCCAGCCCACAGTGCTAGAAAGCTGAGTGCCTCCAGGCAGAAGGCTTGCAGGTGGAGTAGGGTGCTTCCCAGCACTTGGTGGAGCTAGGTTTGCTGACCCAGAAGGCTAGCACTGTGCGCCTTCAGATCTAGGCTTCCTGGCAGACTGGGGTAGTTCAGGGCACATACTGGAAGAGCTAAAAGAGCTTTACACTTGCCCGAGCAGAGCGCAGGACAAGGGACCAGAGAGAGGCGGGCCAGCAGGCACAGCTGAGAAGAAACTGTTAGATGGAAGCACTGTATCCTGAGCCTTCCTGAGCCTGAATTGTAACCAGTTACTTCCCTAATGAACTCCATAATCATGAGTAATGTCTGTGAGTTCCGTGTGGCCATTGCAATGAATTACCGAACTCAGAAGAGGAGTAGAGAATGCTCTGGGAGGGAAAGTTGGTATCAGAATTGGTAAAGATGGCAGAGAGAGGAGTCATGTCTGACCTCTGCCTCATAGGAATCAGCCTTGGGCTGTTCTTGAGTCTCATTCCACCTTGTGAAGTTATAAGAGGTCAGACACTGCTTCTGCCGTGCCATTATTACAAAGGGCCTAAAGGGAGGTAGTCTTGACTGAGATACTGGGCTTTGCCAGAAGAAGGAGATCCAGGTTGTCTGAATTGAAATGGATGTTTCCTTTGTCTCTTGTCCCCACTACCCTGAAGGCTCTAGATCATCCATGTAATTGAGGATTAACAGCCAGAATAACAAGAAAACTGTAGACATATGCAGAGAAACATAATTGTCAGGAATTTAGTCTTGGGCGTATTGACCTGCATTCTGACCCTGGCTCAGCAGCATACCATTTGGTTAACATTGAGTAAGTGATTAATTGATTGTAATTTCCCACACGATAACCCATTTGAAGCAATATCTACTTAGGAGGGGCATGAGGAGTAAAGAACTACTGTGCTGATAGTTTTTTGCAGTTCCCTTTTTATTTGCGCAATAAATGCAACATTTTATCATGAATATGTTGTAGGAATGGAAGTTAGGGTTCTTCGTAGCTTTAAAATATGTAACATGCTGTACTACAGTGGAGGAGACTTTTGAATGTGGCACTGGATCAAAGATTGCTGTGACACTATCATACCAGGATTCATTAGGAGTGACCGCGACAGCTCACTTCACCCTGTAGCCTGTCTGTTCTACAGTTGCTTAGCTTTCCAGTAAAATTGTAGCACCAGAAGTGCTGTATAGCTGCCATTTGTTTCCTCACTACATGTAGGAAGCTAAACGGTTGATGCTATTTCACAGATGCCAGTCCTGCATCCCAGACGATGCCAGTGGTCAGGGTTCAGGTGGTCATGCTTGTGTGCTTTCCAAAGGCTGCAAATGTGAGAAAATTTTGGAGTGGATCGTCCACAGGGTTGGTGTGTAAGTCTGTTTCCTAGGATGCATGAGTAGTGTAGCAGCTAAATCCCCTGCACATCTATGAACTTACTAGAAAATGTGAATCTTAACCTCTTGTTCATGGTCAGCAAACACAAGGGCATGCTATTCTGATTCTTCAAAGTTTGGGCTCTTTGTAATCTTATAACATTAGTGTGTGTTTGGGTGTCTGGGTTTGTTTTGTTGAAGGGAGGGTCACTCATAATTGCTGTACAGTAGCTTTGAGTCTGAAAGTTTGAAAACTGTGATAGCTAGATTCTCTTGTTTCCTGTCTCTCGGCTGATCTCCATTTACCTTTGCAGTACCCTTGTCTGTCTCCATGAAGGGACAGAGTGCATGACAGTGTACTTGTAGAGTTATTGAAAAGTAGGTGAGAGACATGTAAAAATTTGCAGTTTCTGAAAATAATATTTTCTTTTTAGCAGGTTCTTCTGTCAGCCCCTGATCACCTAGAGTTCTTTAAGAAAACATAAGCTTTGAGCTTTGCGTTCTGTTGCCCCTTTGTTCAGGCCACTGGACATCCCATGTCTGGTGAGGGGCAAAAGGAAAAACTGCCAGTCATGCAGTGTTTCCCGGTTGTTAACATTTCATCCTGCTTTCACCGTGTGTTTCATATTTTGTTAAATATTCTGCAGGGTCCTGTGCAAGGAGGTGAACGTTTTATTTCACAAGGAAGAGACGATCCAAATGTGAAAATAAGGCTTTCGCTGTAGAGCCATTCTCCAGTTGATGCTGTGTGTTCTGACTGTTCTAGACCATAAAGGTAGAGAGGAATGAGACTACAACTGGTCACAATCAGACTGTGGAAAGATAAGTTCATTGTGTTGAAAGGATTGTTAAGTCTATGAGACAGGATGGAGTCCGTGAAGACGTGAATGTAGACAGTGAAGGGATGAGGCTGATGGCTCACCGCTAGAGTAGACCTTGGTAGAACACAAAACTTGTGTCAAATCCCCATGAAATGTCAGTTCCCCAGGACTTTCAACCTCACCCTTCCTTTCACACACATTGAAGTACATGGTACCTTGCTGAACCAGAATATGTGATAATTTTTAGGACTCAGTGGCTGTTGAGGATGTGGCTGTGGACTTTACACAGGAAGAGTGGGCATTGCTGGATCTTTCTCAGAGGCAACTCTACAGTGATGTGATGATGGAAATCTTCAGAAGCCTGGCCTCAGTAGGTATGGATTAAAAACAAACCCATTGCTGTCAAGTCGATTTTGACTCTTAACAACCCTATATGACAGAGTAGAACTGCCCCATAGGATTTCCAAGGAGTTCCTGGTGGATTCGAACTGCCGACCTTTTGGTTAGCAGCCAGAGCTGTTAGTCCATTTTTAATATTTTGTGACCAAATAGTCTTTAATATTTTGTGACCAAATATGTTACCACACTGTGTGGGCAGAAGAATGGGAAAACATGTTAAATAAGGCAAGTATGGTCACTTGCTCTCTGGAACATGCATATCTTGGTTTCCCATGAATACAGAGCTCTGTGGATTAAACTGACTTCTCATTTCGATTGTGGTTAAAAGTCGTAAGGCTCTTTAAATGTTGTAAATGTGAATATTGACTTCAGGGGTTTCTTTGGTGCACAGAGAGAATATTTGTGGTCTGGGACCATGTAAAGAGTCTCTGTTTATTACAAATATGACATAATTATTTTGCTACAAATGAGTTCACACCTGCCAATCACCAAAGACCCTGAGGACGAAAGCATTGGCTCAATGTTAGGGAAGTGTTCATTGCTCCTCCCTGTCTTACCTAATGATAAGCCTTTCTCCATGATCACCACATCAGCTATACCCATTTCTTCTCCCAGAGTAGCAAGAGGAAGAGCTGAGGAGAGTGCAGATAGCACTTGTCCAGGACCACTGTATTGGGGGCACCAGGATTCAAGAATCATTGGAAGGACTGGGCCTGCATGGAGGGAATGAGATTTGAAAAAGTCAATTAGAGAAAGTTCTTTTGTGTTTAGAAGTATGTGCTTCACAGATACCTGACCTTGCTTTTCTGACTTTCATCAATCCTAACAGGCGTGGTTCATGGAGAAAGACTGTCGCCTTTTCCTCTTTTAATGTTCCATGTACATTGTGTCTAATACCTTTCTACTTTACTCTTCTAATTACACCCTATTTATGTCACCATCACTGTCAATCTTCATGGAAGTATTTCCTAGTAAATTGCTTTCTCAACATTGCCAAAGTACAGAAACAGCAAAATGCATCAGATGCTTTGTTTGCTCACAGCTACCTTTTCCCTGTATTTTCTCTCCTTTTTGTTTCATGTTGTGAACCTCACCTAAAATCATTGGGTCAGCTTCTCGAAACCTTATTGACGGAGAAAAGCTATCCACTGAAAATATAATAGTACGATTCATGAAAAATGACACCTGGTCCTTGATGGTAGGAGAAATCTGCAAATTGCATGGCATTGAAGATCAGAATAACAACCAGAAAACACATGTGAGGTGAGTGTTATTTACACAAGAGACAGCAGTGCAACAGGAGTCTTAAGAAGGTATAATGACATTAAAATATTTATATACCTAAGGAGCCCAGGTGGAACAAATGGTTAGGTACTCGATCGCTAACGAAAAGATTGGCAATTTGAACCTATCAGTGGCTCTGTGGGAGAAACACGTGGCAACCTGCTTCTGTAATAATTACAGCGAAGAAACCCTATGGAGCAGTTCTCCTCTGCCACTTGGGGTCACTGGGAACTGAAATTAACTCAGCAGCACTGAAACAACAACAACAAATACACACACCAACACATACATATGTATGTATACACACACGTATGTGTAGAAACCCATTACTGTTGAGTCTATTCTGACTCATAGTAACTCTAGGACAGCGTAGAACTGCCCCATAGGGTTTCCAAGGCTGTAATCTTTAAGGAAGCTGACTGCTGCAACTTTCTCTCAGTAGCTGCTTTCGGGTTCAAACTGCCAGTCTTCCGGTTAGTAGCCAAGTGCTTAACCACTGCACCAGCAGGGTTCCTGGGTTTTTATGAATATATCTGTGTGTAATGTATATATGTGTGTGTATATGTATGCATGCATCCATGCATGTATGTATACGCATGCACACACTCCTCACGTTTCGACATAGGTTCAAAAGATCAGATGGTTTTGCAAAAATCAGCATTATGTGAAAACGAACGATTTTTTGTTTCTATTTTCAGACCATCTATTTGTCGAGTTTTTTTATTTAGAAAATATGTTCGCAGACATAACAACAGCTAAGATTTACTTATGTAGTCATTACTGTGACAAGTCATTTATGAATTATTCCAGTGTGAGGAAGGAGGGATCAAGGAGACAAAGCTGAGTAAACCCAGGCTGTGTGCTTGGAGGACGCATGGCTTAACCATTTCACCTTCCTCCGGTGCTAGGTTAGAGCTCCCTTCGTGAAGCCACCTCCAGGGCTCCAGTCCCACCCCTACAAGCCCTTTGTTCCAGATCCTAGAGTCTATTCTGCTCTCCAGGCCTGGTGAGTCACCAAGGCTCAGGGCTTTTGTGAGGGAGCTGTGAGCCTATCTATGCAACTAGCCCCACCAAGGTGGAGGCTTCAGGCCCAGTTCACATCACTTTGGATGTCATTAAACTCGCATTTCTTGCAAACACCCTCTCCATTGCACATTATTTCCTACCTTTCTACCCCACATTTTGAGTTACAGGGCCTTGGGTCTACTTGGAGATAGCAGTCCAGAAGAGGTGCCTGCTGGCTGAGCACTGCCTGTGCATCCACCTGGATGCTGTGGCCTCAGAGAAGCCTGGCCCTGCTCAGAAGCTAGATGTGGCAACCCTGTCAGGAGGGACCAGAGGGCGTGGGGTACTGCTGCCCAGGTTCCCTGATGGCATTCTGAGAACCTCCTCATTAATGCGCAAAATAGATAGTAGATTTTTGCTATTGTCGCAAATGCAAAATGTCAGATAATGAGATGGTTGATAAGGAGTAGGGGTGTCTGTGTGTGTGTGTGTGCATTTCAAGCCTTTTGCTGTCTTGTCTTTTCCATCTCTTGGCAGTGCTGCTGGGTGGTTTTAAACCACTAGCCTTTTGGTCACTTGGGGTCAGTAAGCTGGAATCAACAGCACTTAATAAGAACAATTATATATACGTTTACACACACACTCATATATATGGCAGTAAGGATTTGTTCTATCCAGTTATATATGTATAAAAAACAGCTGTAGTATCGTGTTCACAGAATTTTCACAGGACAATATTTTCATAGATGTGAGTCATATTTAATGTTTGAAACATTTCACTTAAATACAATTGTTAGCACCATATTTTAGAAACAGTAAAAATAATGGTAGCATGTCTTGATAGGTGATTTAATCTATGAAATGAGAGAGTTTAGAGCAAAAAAAAACATGTTTAATGTGTTTGGTAATGGTGTAATAGTAACAAATTTGTGTCCAACATCATGCTGCCTATTTTTAACAGAAGACATATGTTAGAGAACCTCTGTGAAAGTAATGAAGACAATCACTGTGGACAGACCTTCAGCCAGATTTCAAATCTTTCCATGCTAAAAAGAACTCTTATGGAAGCATATCCTTCTGAATGCCTTGAGTGTGGAAAATCCTTGATGAATCATTCATCACTTAAGCATCATATCAAATCTTACTCTGGATTCAGCGCCTATCACTGTAAGGAATGTGGAGAAGCCTGCAGTTGTCCCTCTTACCTCAGCACTGCTGTGGGAACTCTTACTGGCAAGAAATCCTATGAATGTAAGGAATGCAGCAAAGGGTTTCATCGTTCCTCAAAGCTCACTATACATATGAGAATTCACAGTGGAGAGAAGGTCTGTGTATGTAAGGAAGGTAGGAAAGCCTTTTGTCACTTCTCAAACCTCACTGCACGTATAAGAACTCATAGTGGAGAGAGTCCTTATGTATGTAAGGAATGTAGGAAAGCCTTTTGTGACTCCTCAGACCTCACTGCACATATAAGAACTCACAGTGGTGAGAGGCCTTATGAATGTAAGGTATGTGGCAAAGCCTTCAGTCAGTCCTCTTCCCTCGCTTCACATGTAAGAACTCACAGTGGTGAGAGGCCTTATGACTGTAAGGAATGTGGCAAAGCCTTTAGTGAATCCTCTTCCCTCACTAAACATATAAGAACTCACAGTGGTGAGAGGCCTTATGAATGTAAGGAATGTGGCAAAGCCTTTAGGGAGTCCTCAAACCTCATTAAACATATGAGAACTCACAGTGGTGAGAGGCCTTATGAATGTAAGGAATGTGGTAAAGCCTTTAGTCAATCCTCTTCCCTCACTTCACATATAAGAACTCACAGTGGTGAGAAGCCTTATGAATGTAAGGAATGTGGCAAAGCCTTTAGTCAGTCCTCTTCCCTCACTTCGCATATAAGAAC